ATTAATTTTAAATTTAAAATCACCAGTAACTTAGAATGAGGGTGGTGGTGTACCGGGAATCCAAAGTAGCTTAGAAATTATCATTTAAAATTAGGTGTTGAGCCGGGCGTGGTGGTGCATGCCTGTAATCCCAGCACTCGAGAGGCTGAGGCAGGAGGATTACTGTGAGTTCGAGACCAGCCTGGGCTGCACAGTGAGGCCCTGCCTCAAAACCCCCCCGCCCCCAAAAAAGTGTTGATACAATTATGGCATTTTAAAATAATGAGTTTAACTTTATTAAGCAAAATTTTCCTTACTTTTTTTCTTTTTCTTGATTTACTGTACTGGCCAGAACATACAATACAATCTTCAATAGGAAAAAAAAATTATGTGTTGGGGGGCCGGGGATTTAGCTCAGTGGTTCTAGCACCTGCCTGGCAAGTGCAAGGTCCTGAGTTCGATCTCCGGTACCAAAAACAAAACATAAACAAAAACAAAAATATTATATGTTGACGTACCCACTATCGACAATATTTATTTATTTATTTTCAGGGTGCTGGCATTGAACCCAGGACCGCAAGCACGCCAGGCTACAGGCTCAGCCCTATGTTTAAATAGAGAGCAAGCAAGAGCAGAAGTCCTCCATTTATACTCCCTTCCTCAGACTGCATTTCATCCGACTAACTGCTAACATTCAGCGTGTACCATTTCTCTGCATTTGGGCAGACGCATCCATATATGTATACAAATAGGTTTGAACCTGTGGATTTAGAGTGAGTGTGCACTGACTTGTTCCTTTCACTTCAAAACGTGTATTTTAAAAAATCACTTTTCAACGCCTGTACAGTACCCAAAATGTGGATGAACCACATTTTAATTATTCCCTTAAGTTTGAAAACATAGGCTGTTTGTATGTATGTATGTTTGTATGTACTTATTTTTGGGGTGGACAGAGTCTCACTGTGTAGCCCAGGCTGGCCTCAAACTTGTAGCAATCCTCCTGCTTCAGCTTCCTGAGTGCTGGAATACAGGTGTACGCGGTTCTCCATTTTCTAAAATTACAATGTTACAGAAACTTCTGTAGATATATCTCAGTATGCATCAGCAGTATACTTTTGAGCTACTGAGATATGCACTGAAAAAAAAATATATATATTTTAAGTTTTGATAATGTCAACTTTCCTTTGAAAATGGTCTTGTAATTTATATTACTTTAAAAATTGACATTTCAGGGCCAGGGATTTACCTCAGTGGTTCAGTGGCCTGCCTTGCAAGCGCAAGGACCTGATCAGGTACCAAAAACAAAAAACAAAACAAATAAAAATTGACATTTCAGCTGGGGATTTAGCTCAGTGGTGCTGCCACCTGCCTTGCAGTAAGGTCCCAACTTCAATCTCTGGTACTGGAAAAAATAAAATAAATAAAAATGGACATTTCTGCATGCCTTTCAATCTTAACAAATAATCTAAATACAAGTTCCTTGAATTTGTGACAGTTTGAACAAAAGTGTTTCATTTGAATTTACATTTCTGATTTTTTTTTCCCCTGGTACTGGGGATCAAATTGAGGACCTTGCACTTGCGACACTGAGCTAAATCCCCAGCCCTTATATTTCTCTGATTACCAGAGGGGCTTAGTACCTCTTCTGTGAATTTAGATCATTTGTTCACTTTTTCCACTAAGTTGTTTTGGAATTTGATAGAAACACCTTATATCTTAACTGTTTTGTTGTTGTTATTACTGGGAATCGAACTCAGATCCTTGCACTTACAAGGCAGGTGGCAGAACCACTGAGGTAAATCCCCAGCCCATAACTATTTTAATAATTACATTAGAGGCAAATAATTTTTTTCTATACTTCATATGTAGTGGCTTATCCCAGAATACACAAAGTTTTTATTTTTATGTAGGAATATCTCTTAATCATTGGATTCAATACATAAAATTCTGGTCTTAGGTGGGTTTTTTTGCACCAGGGATCAAACTCAGGACCTTGCACTTGTGAGGCAGGTGGCAGAACCACTGAGCTAAATCCCTGGACTCTTGTTTTGTTTTTTGAGACAGGGTCTCACTGTGTAGTTCAGGCTGGCCTTGAACTTTTTTTTTTTTTTTTTTGTACTGGGATCGAACTCAGTACCTTGTGCTTATGAGGCAGGTGTGGTGCCACTGAGCTAAATCCCTGGGCCAGCCTTGAACCAGAACTTGGGCTCTTGCACTTGCGAGGCAGGAGGTGGAACCACTGAGCCAAATCCCTGGCCCCTGGCCTTGAACTCTTCATTATTCTGCCTCAGCCTCCCAAGTGCTGGGATTACAGGGATGTACCACCACATCCAGCTTTAATAAATTATTTTTCCTCCTAATAATAGGGACTGAATTCAGGGCCTTGTGCATGCTAGGCAAGCAGTCTACCACTGAGCTACATGCCAGCCCTTATCATTTTGTTTCCACTTTGTTTATTTTGATATAGGATCTCACTAAGTTGCCCACGCTGATCTCAACTTCTGATCCTCCTGCCTCAAACAGGTCAGTAGCTGAGATTATAGGTATGTGCCACTCTCTATTTGTTGGCCTATGGTTTTGCATTAAATTATTTGCCTTAAAAATAAAATCATTTGGCCGGGCGTGGTGGCGCACACCTGTAATCCCAGCACTCAGGAGGCTGAGGCAGGAGGATCACTGTGAGTTCGAGACCAGCCTGGGCTACATAGTGAGTTCCAGGTCAGTCTCAACTACATAGTGAGACCCTGTCTCAAAAAAAAAACCAAAGAATTGAAAAAACTAAAAAATAATAAAATCATTTGCCTAGTCAATGAATATAAAAATTCCACTCTGCTGTTCAGAGATGCCACTGTAGGTGAAGTAAGAACCAATTTAAAATCTGACTCAAATCTTAATCTTACCTTTCTGAATTAGATGTCAGGCAAACTACAGTACCTGCCACCTCCACCTGAGTTCAGATGCTCAGTGTAGGAGTCTTCCCTACAGATGCTTGCCGAATCTGACTGTCACACACATTTGTAACTGTGCTGAGAGTATTTTACAGAGCTCTGCTGGGTGTCTGAGCTGAGGCGCTAAGGACTTGACTTTCGCTAGATCCAACAGTCAAACGGAATATGCGATTTGAGTAACACCCATGCGGCCATACACAGCTGTTTTTTAAACTAAAAAATAAAAGATTTAGTTAAATGTTGACATTGAACAGGAGAAGTCAGGTACCTAGATAATCTTCATTAAGGTTTTACAAGTGGTTTGCAAAATAAGCCCTATGCAGGTACAGTAGTTTATTCACTAGAATACTGACTCCAACCTTCATTTTGTAAAAGATCAAAAATTCAAAACTTACTTTGCTATTTAGCTAAACTATTAAGTAACTAATCAAAAGTCATCTGAAATACACATAGATGCTATGAGGAGAGGGTGCCACACTTCCCCAAATTTGGTAACAGTCAAGCCTACTGTTGATAGGTAATGTACTCCATAGGAACTCACTGCGTAACTTTAATGCATAAAATACACTATGGTATTTATCTACCTCTATCTGCATATCTTATAGAATATCTCTAAACCATAAGCTTTAATAAAATGAACATGTAGGCCGGGGATTTAGCTCAGTGGCAACACACCTGCAAGGTCCTGAGTTTGACCCCACAACCACCACAAAAAAAATAAAACACAACGAGCATGTGATGCTGGGCGTGGCGGTGCACACCTGTAATTGCAGCACTCGGGAGGTTGCAGTGGAAGTACCACAGGCTCAAAGCCAGACTGGGCTTTGTCAGTTACTGGGATTAGTGAGTTTGAAGCCAGTCTCAAGCATGTATGAGACTTTGTTTTGAAAAAATAAAAACAACATAAAGAACACATGAGCCAGGCATAATGGTACAGATCTGAAATCCAGCACTCAGGAGGAGGCCAAGGCAGAAACGCCATGTGTCTGAGGTTGGACTCTGTTTAGTGAGCTTCGGGTCACCCTGGACTACACAGCAAGAGCCTGTCTCAGAAACATAAAGAAACCTAAACATGTAAATTATCAACCTCTATTAAGTTAATGTGAGTTGAGAACGGAACTAAGGAATTCAGGTTAAATAACAAAAGCCTTGCCGGAAGTGGAGGTGCCCACCTCACCTGATCCCAGCCCTCAGGACGCTCTGACAGGAAGGCCACAAGCACCAACCCCACCAGGGCAACTGAGCAACTCAGGGTGGCCCTGGCGCAAATAAAACAAGAAAGAGCTGGAGATGTGTAAAACTCAGTTCCATGCCCAGCTTCAGTCACCAGTACCACCGGGGTGGAAAACAGAAAAGCCTCAGATTTCTAAAAAGTTCAATAAATCAGGCGTGGTGGTGCACGCCTGTAATCCCAGCACTCGGGAGGCTGAGGCAGGAGGATTGCTGTGAGTTCGAGACCAACCTAGGCTACATAGTGAGGTCTAGGTCAGTTTCAACTACATAGTGAGACCTTGTCTCAAAAAACTGAAAAA